CAGCACTCAATTGTTCAGTGGTGTTGTACTGAAGTCAAGGTCAAACGATTGATGGTGCGAGGTCAACCGTCAATTACACAATGAATATATATCGATCGACAGAAGGCCGGGAGACTGGCGCTATCCAAATACATCTTATGATGAACAACTTTATCGAGTGAACAAGCTTCAACGTATTTATAGATATAGTCGGTGTTTTACCTCTTCAGTGCTATCCATCTTGTTTCAGTTAGAAATAATTTTCCACTATCTTGGCAGCTTTCTATTCTTGTCGATTAGCTGCTAAATGATGCTGACATAATTTTCCTTTTAGCAAGGCTGGTTTGCAAAACAATGCATCCAAATTGTTAGAACTCACATCAAGAGTCTTGCTCCACTAAATCTTGCAGTTCCCCACTGTTTAATTCCTCAGGTCAATAAAGGTTCCATCGGAAGACCATGTCAGTTCCATTTAGTGCCATTCAAGCATAATTTAGCCTTGAACATTGATGCACCAGTTGTGGTGTTTGACTGCTCAAAATCTAAGATTATGTCAATCATAAGAGGACGAGACAAAAACCACACAATGTTCTTTTGAAATTACATATATCAACTAATGTCTTGATGGTTCCTTGTGAATTTTATCTCTTTATCCCGACGTGATCCATTTAACCAAGTAATTGATCTGGTCTCCAATCCTTTTCCAGGGTGAGCAAATACTTTGGAAAATTGTGCCTAATGGAGAGTCAAGTAACCGCTGAAAAAATAAAGGCATCGACTACATCTATGACTAACCAGAAAAAAGCTTTGTTTGAAATGAAAAAACTTATGTCGAATTAGCAAACGATCTCAGTTTCGAAACGAGCCCTTCAATCAATGCATTTATTCGATAAGTGCATTTCAAACTTTGTAGATTTAAATTTTTGAACTCCATAATTTGTCCAGATCAGCTGTGAAAGGTTGTGCGCAATTTTCAGTTCTATTCCTAAACGGAAACACTATTTACCCGAAGCGGCTGTGCTTCTTATAGCTATCGAAATTTTATCATTGTTTTATATCCTGACACCGCGCATCCATTATTTCACTTTGTATCTCATTGCAATCAACTAGTCATTCATATACTTTCAACACATTACCCCTTTGATCTTCCTCTTCATTGTTGTGCACCATCTACACTTATTGATTTTCGCGCAAATTTGCTATGCATGAAGTTTGAGAAATCGGTATAATTTATTTTATCGATTCATTTCAACAGTATATATTAGTTCTTCGTCCTGGTTTCGATTGTGGGTGAGGAACGTGCCAGTTACCCGGATTGATACACCCCAGCACCGTTCAATACACATCTCACACTAAGCCTTTGGGTGTTTCTAATCGCAATATTTCGAATACGAATTTACTCTACGCATGAGTAACCGCACAGGATATTTTGAAATTGCAAAAGGGATTGTGCTGGTAGTCAGTGTAAACATTCCTTGATTGAATCATCCATTCAGGACTGACCCCACGACAATGAAGTAAGTCTTTGAAAATTTTAGTTCAACATTTTAGTTCGTAGATTTATAGCACAATTCTTTTTTACTTCTAGTCTTACTTTAACTTTGATCGTTTTTGTTCGAATTAATGTGTTATCTCACGCAGCATTCGAGCAACTTACGGACGAAGTGTTCTGGAGAATGCGGTACATGGCTCGTCCAATACAGAACACGCGAGCAAAACCATTGAGCTGATCTTTGGTGATGCCAACATTGGTCTTCCTGGACATGGTGAGCGTAGAAATCATTTTGAACCAAAATATGTTGTTTGGGTCCATCAAAAGTCCCCGAAACCGCTTAAATTTAATCACACGCCTAATTTTCATATGAAATCGATGATTCAGGTAATTGTGAGCAGCGCCAATAAATCATATTTTACGAGAATTCTTAAATATCTGTAGAAATCAGATAGTTAGTAGTTGGCTAGCTTTGACCTTATTACCGAGTCTAAGGGTTACTCAAGCGAACTATGAATATTTGGACCCCTCTGGTATTTGCACAATCTTCGGGTAGAGTTGTTTCGCGAGACATATTTACAGGAAGGGCCCATAATTGGAAGGGTTGATTCAGCTGCTTATTGATGATGCACTGGGTTGGATGCAGCGCAGACTGTCAACAAGATATTCCCTTTCTTATTCTCCCCAGGAAAAATTTCCTTTGGAACGTTTCATTAAACACAAGAAAACCGGTGACTGATTAGCCTCGACGTAATGTCTTGTTTTATGCAATAAGAAATATAATAGCAGAACAATGAGCTAGAAAGGGAACAGGACCCAATACAGAGTAAATCATTAGTTCCGAAATGTGCAGTTGTCCGCGATTGTTTTTCAACAAAAGAAAAAAAAACCTTTGAGGATCACTGGAACCTGAGAAAATAAAGAAAATGGTTAATTTAGATGGTTAATTTTTGGATTAGTTCATTCGGTTTTTCAGAGTCACCAGGCACTGTTAATGATGTTTATTCTGATAAACTAAATCAAGTTGAAAGAGTGCAAAAATAACTGAAGCTCTATTTTACTTGATGAATTCTCTGATAAATTTTCATGGCATTGATTGGTAGCCACAGGTTAAAACGTACCCTGATAAAATTGTCTGCAAATTTTGAGCCACGTGCAGAAAAAAAGACATACAGAACACGTAAAGGTATTTAATCTTCATTGAATACGGGGTTGGAGTATGTGGTACACATACCATCCGATACTGGTACACGGAATGCGATGTTTACCGAGATAATTCGTATGTGGATGAAGGTCAATGTTACTCAGACCATAATCTGGCTCAGCGGTATAAAATCTTGACCGGAGAAGGGGATTGAGTAGCCCATGTTGAGATTCCATATTGGGATCGTCATAGTTAGCTTAATTAGCTACTGGAGACTGACTGATATGATAAAGTGTCACAATTGATGATTCTCGTACATCTACTCCCTCTGAGCGCAAAATCAGTTTATATGCATTCTGCATCTTTATCTTGTCGCTGGTCTCTGATTTTCAATTCTTTCATTCGGTTCAGTTTGGCAGACAAAAAATGGAAAACAATTTCTTCTCACTCAATTTCAAGAGGATAGTTGTCTTGGCTGAAAAAGAAACTATAATAGATTGCAGTCAATGTTAGTGATACCGAAACGAGTAGAGAATTGAGTTAGAAAATGTACAAAGTACGGCATCAGGCCAATTAGTGTTCACTACGTCGCTAGGATGCGGATAGTTTGGAGAACACCCCATCACCTGTGTCTGAGGAGACACTGACCCTTAAGCTAATCAATAAGCGTTGTCAAACCACCGTTGATTGGAAGTTAAGTGGCCCAATCTTCGGATCACGCAGAGACTGATGTTACACATGATTTGGTTGGTTTGCAGAATTGAGATGTTGGAAGCCAGGGTTGTTTGAAGGCCCCCCTCTCTCGATGTGAAAATAAAGACCATCAGCTACTAGATTCATAAGGAACGGAGAACGGTAGTTAGTTACCCACAATGAAACCCAAATAATGAATGAATTTGCTTCTATTGAAAATGGCGATGGTCAGTCGCTTCTCCATTGGAGTAACGCTACAAAAGAACAATACTGTTGGTCGGTGTGTGAACCATGAGCTCCAATAGTAGTGAAACTCGAGTCTAGTGCCTCCAAGTTTGTGAATAACTTGAAGAACTGATGGTTGGGAGTGGAGTTGACGTCTGAAACATGGTCATTTCAAATCAACATGCACATATCACTGTAAATGAAGGACAAGTATGGCTACCGCACAATGGTCTTGAAAAATGTTAAGTACAAAAAAGTACTGCAAAGGGAGCCTTCAAAATCGACATGGTCAAATTGACTCCCAGTTGAATGTTTTAGTTCTCTGTCTATTGTGAACGAAGTGTGCTTAATGCACAAACTTGCGTGCAGCTGAACGTGTCTGTCACGCGTGTTCATGTCTAGGATGGGGGTATGAGCAGTTAGCAGGTTCACGTTCCTGTTACATCAATAGTTAATCTCAGTACAGAGAGACAAAAGATCTTTGTTTCAGGCGTACGGAATGGAAGAGGTGTGACAATGTAACAAATTGTATTCGCAGCAGTGGATTATTAGTAATAAAAACCAATATATTTACTACTTGAGAATAGTTAATTATTTGAGTCATTGTCATGGGAGAATTCTTCGTGTATAGAGCAAATTAAACGTGAACTGAAAAGTTAGGAACCATTGGACAGCTGTTTTAACCTGGTTGGTTCCCATTAGCAGTGCGAATCCGGTAACCCAACGGGGGCTCGGACCAGATGCACCACAGGCAGAAGGCAAGCATGCTATCCATTCGGCCACCAGACAGCTAACCATTTGCACGATATAGCACAACATAATTTCGCACAGCTGATGAGACCCAATCAGGTCGAAACAGCTGTACAGTGCTTCCTGGCTTTTCAGTTCACGCTTCATTTGCTCTACACACGACCAAGTCTCCTATGAAACATCTTTATTCCGTCAGATCATTCAATACATTTGATATTCACACTGAAATTCGTACGTTTCATCATCTTTTTATATCTAGTTGAAGGTGAAGATAAAGGTGAGCCACGGCATTTTGTTTTTGGCCCAGAGTTCAAATTATCTTATTTAAAAAAATTATTTGCGATTTTAACTGTGGAATATTTGTTTTCACCGAACACGGGGTATTTGTTAACCGCTGTGACCATGAGCACCAAATCATAGTGTGTTTACTGATTGAAATTAGCTTTACTTTCATTTTACGACGAGAGTTGACGGTTCAACGCACACTTTACTAGCTTTGCTGTTTCGTTTATTGGTTTTTTCCACTGGAACAGTGCTGTTAGTCACAATTTGTTCTGTGGTGTTTTTGCAAAATTTGTGCTTAGAGTACGCTTTGTTTTTCAAGTATGGTGTGAGCAACTGATGCATTCGGATCAATCTCTAGCTGATCTTTCTGTTTGAATACTTGAAGTCGGACATGCCTCCTTCTGCGCACCGTTAGAATACCAGATTTCCGGATTCCTGGGCTATGGATGTCACGTTTTTGGATAAATGATTTCAGTATAACTGCAAGAGCTGACTCGAAAGACATAGGTGATTTCAAACAACAAAGACAACAACAACACACGGTGTAGACTTTCACTAATTTATACTAATCAAAATGAAAAACAATTTGTCAATTTACGGATTTATCACTGGGTCTCCTGAACATGTCCCAGACACAAGTGTGGACTCCCGGTACATTTGCTTTACTCTTATCCTATAGTGTCATCGCTTATTAAACCAAATTTTCGCCACCTTTTCAAAAATTATTTACATGAGTAGCCTCGGTGTTTGTGCGTATTAATAATTATTAATATACTTCTTACGGGTCGACGTTTCTGATATATATAATCTAATGTTACAAAACCCAAAAGGTGTGAACCATACAGCTACTTGGATTTACGATTCCATTATGAGAAACGGTAAACCAACCTCCCAATAGGAAATTACTTAAGACCCCGCAGGTATGGACATTATATGGATGCGAACCCTGTCGTTGCCGATCACCACCAAAGTTAGCTGATGGTTCTAGGGTTCGACGAAGACCAGTGGTGGTATCCGAAGCCGACTGATAATTACATTCAACATCATTTCATGTTTCTTCGGCGTAAGCACAACATTCACCTGTCTGTGAAGGGTTGGGTTTGATCAGTACTGCCATATGATGCGGTGCATTGACTGTTACGGGAACCGGATCGAAGTTCGAACACCGCCATCTATGCCGTAATGCACAAGGTTGATAGAATAATCAGATAAACAATGCTGAGACTACCCAAAAAGTTTCCGGCAATCACGATCGAGCCCCTGAGAAGTTGTTCGATTCATTTACTCTGCGATGGTTTGGACATGGGTTACGCGAGGCACTAGATAGAATTTCGAGGTGTGTGATATTTACCGAGGCCGTCAATGAAGAAGGTTGTCATAGGTTGCCAGAATTAGACCTGGCATGAGTGCACGAAAGAAAACTTGACCAGGAAACTCAGTCACATAGATCGTGCTCAATGTCCTGGTTCAGGACTTCAGGAAAAATCCGATCCATGGTTAGAGAGAGAGAGAGACACTGAGGAATATGGCTGAGTGTTGTACACAGGAGTGATTTTGCATCAACTCTCTTTAATCATATCATTATTACACTGAGACTCTATCTTCCCCTAAATAAAATTCCCAAATTTCTGCTTCTTACACCTTCATCCAAATGGGAAGCCGAAATAAAGAAACCAAAAACTAAGTATCAACGTTAATGACTGTATAAACTGGAGTGGCTACAAGGCACTTATTCTTTATTAAAGTTTCAACGATGGTTTCAGTTGATGCTACCGATTCTTTGGTCCATTTGATTCGAAATCTAAAATTCGTCTCCCTTCCCCTGCTGATAATAGACACATCTGGTTGTAGTTGGTACAATAAGATATTTATGAGCTGCAATCCTCCTGATTTATCATTTAAAATCTCGGAGCGAATGTTGCATTCGGTAACGATCCATTTACAACACCTGAAGTCTATTCTGGGTATGATGTCATCGTGAAAATGAGGTAAACGCTTGTACAAATTGATGGATTTCATTCAAATTGCATTTTGTTTTGCATTTGCTAAGCATAGGCTATGCTTTAAGCTAGTTCGACTCGGTTTCCTAAATTTGCTTTACTGGATCATGGAAAGAAGTGTTGTTTTTCCGATCACGAAACGCTCCTTCATTGAAACAACGTTCTCCTTTCGTGAGAGTGCATTAGAAAGTGGCTAATGAATCAGTGTTCAGGAGAACTGTCAGCAAGATTCGACGGAATAAATGAATCTTGTGCATTGATTCGTAGATTGTTTTGTTTTGTTTAATAGGCTTCAGTCAGCTGCATTCGGTTCTTACAGTATTGATTTAATCTTTGTAGTGTATACCAAATAAAATTTGTTAAATTGATTGTTGCTTGACGTTACACTTGGGTCTATGATGTTTGATGTCTAAGACCCCAGAGGGATTGCGTTGTAGTGGAACGGATTTAGTTAGACAGTTGAGTGAACACTGTTGCACTGCTAAATGGTTTGAGTGTTCATTTCAATGAATTGATTTACCGATATTGTTAAACAATATCGGTAAATCAACATTGACGAAAAGAAATGATCAGAATAAAAAACAAGAAATAAAGAAGTTCTTTTCATTCAGAACGTGAGCAGATCAGTCAGTTTTCTTCCCGAGCAGGGCATTTTTAGGTGAGCAGCGACCTGGCATTTGTAGCCAAACGGTTGACATCGCTATAACCGCAGTTTCGTTGCGCAATGAGGTCCCCGAATGCAAACTTTATCATCGCCACCTAACTTTGTGCTGGACGGATTTGCTGTCTTTCGGTTAGATTCCCAGGGCCTGGGTAGCCGGTTCCCATAACCTAACAGTAACTCCTCGCCGCTGTGTGATATTTAATCTAGCTGCTAATTATCACAGTAGGGTTTATGGTAAACAATCGTGGAACCGTATGAGGAGAGGAAG